ATTACATTAATACGTTATTATATATACTTATTTGGAGGCAAGCAACATGTGTATGAACATCGTGGTAAAATAACGTGTTAAGTTTCGTCACGGACAGGGACTAGAAATTGGTGGATGAATATGATATACTCGGACCAAATACCACGTGCAAGGGAGAACTTTCTTAGCAAATATTCGTAATGGGCTTTAGTTATGACTGTAAAAGACAAGTTACGCGTACTCAAATTTGTTATCACGTCAGTAACATTAAGCTTCACTCCTTTGATTTATTTAACGCATTCTTCATAGTAAATCCGTTCTGGATATTTCATCAAGTAAATGATTATTATTAAGAATTTATATAGTATTTATGAATGCTCTAACCCCCCTCCCCCCTCCCCCATATCATTCGGTCAGTTGTTATCGTTGGTTGTTCGCAATATTCCGTAAAAATCATATTTGGAAATGTTGATATAATACTCCTGCTTTACTTTCACTCGGTTGTATTTTTGCCAAATCATTATTTCAGCGACCCGAAAATGAACGCCAGGTACAAATAAAGAACAGAACAATATATTTAAAAAAATATCATGATTGATTTAAGTTATTCGTGGCCAACCAAATTCCTACATTTCGTAGTAATCTGATAATATGAAACACGTGCCCTAAAAGTCACGTGGTAATGTGTGTCTCGTTGTTTACAGCTGTTAAAATAATTATATGAATATTAAACAATTTGTAGCAGATGTGTAGCAGCTTATTATCAATGTAACAGTTAGGGGTTATTTCTTCGATTGTTAGTGATTCACAACTGCTAGAAATCACCATAAAGGCGAAATGTTTAGGTCAACTAAACATCTGACCCAATAAGATTCAAGTGTAAATGACTCCCCTACATATAAACATTGCTGAGAAAATGACTCATCTGCAAGGCTATATCGCCATTAAGTATGCCATAGTGTAAATTCCCGTTATTATATATCCCGTTCCATTTGCGACATGTTTACAAATTAACTTTTCTGTTCGATTTTTAAAAAAAGAGAAACGCCTCAATATTGTGTAAACATCAAGTCTTTTCCCGAATTACGCATGCGCAAATAGAATTGCATGGCGTCTGACGGTAATTCGGGAACGGGGAATTGTGATGCAAGATTTAAAAACAAAAGTACTTCATAGACTTGCATGGTGACTTAGTAGTAATTGTAGTATCATGAGGGCGCGGTCTATTCGTTCACAATGTACCTTTTATGGCGGAAAAAAAACAGTTACTAGTACATTTTATTGTCAGTCAAGGTTGCTCAATGAAAGCCCCCGATTTCGAATCAGTGTTTTTTTAAAAATATATTGTTCACGTCTTTATTTGTACCTGGCCTTCATTATCGGGTCGCTGAGAAAATGATTCGGCAAAAATACAACCGAGTGAAAGTAAACGTTTCGGTATATTTTGCTAAATGCGTCAAGGCACTAGTGAAATTTTAAGATATAGGGTTAGGGTTAGGGTTTAAATTTAACGTTTCTGTGAACTATTCAACTTTGGTTACCCCCTTGCCTATTTTAGAACACAAAATAATACTTTTGGTTTTAGAAAGTTGTAAACGTAGAAGGAAACATTTCTAGTTACAGGAGTGTCAGAACGTTCACTTGCCAGTGTTCCGTGAAACAATATTCTCATTGTAAAACCGGCTTGATTGTATTATTATTATTATTATTATTATTATTATTATTATTATTATTATTATTATTATTATTATTATTATTATTATTATTATTATTATTATTATTATTTAATTCGGGACAAGAAACAATTAGAAAATCCCATAACACGCAACATAAACATTAAAAAGAATCCAGTTTTTAAAATATTTACAGTAGCCACATCTTAGAAATGACACGCTTCGGAGCACACCACACTACTGATCTCAGAATAATGACTGGTATACCGACGATTAAATATTAATAAAACAATTCCACCAAAGTGTAGGAATGGGTCGGCTTACAAACATTCCACTTGTACTACAATAACAATCTTATGGTGGTTTACTGGCCATAACTGTGTGCAATTGTCGGAGGCGGAGCAACGTCACAAAACGTTCTTCGTTGCTAAGACGCAACCAAATTTATATATGTTATACATGTAGTGCTAATCTTGTTACACTGTTCAGGGGACTCTCGACAACCATCCAAATGTACCGTTTTCTGAGAGTTTTCGGGCTTTGTTTTCACCGTGATGGTTGCCAGGTAGTGAAAATGCCCGGATGTCCGCCGCTAACAATACAAGCACTGTAACACCCTCTTAAATAAGGTGGTTAGATCACCAATGTTACAACCTATTCTATATAACTTTAACTGGGTACTAAGCTGATTCATATAAACATTGAAAGTAATAGGGGTAAAACACTCCCTTTCCGCCCACCAGTGTTATTACAGAATAAGACAAAGCGCACCGAATAATTATAGTCGGACAAGTCCCTATTGATAAACTATTTATATAGTAGAAAATGAACAGTGATTAGTTTAGTTCAGTCTAATATTAGTGGTCTGAGGTCCAGTCAAATGGCTTAGTTGCGTCAGTAAAAATAAACATAGACAGAACTATAATAAAAATGATAATAATTTTTCCATTGCATAATAAGGTCGAGCTGACCCAAATATCCTGTTTCCGAGCGGAAATACCACGTCTTGAAGTGGGGTACACACCCCATAGTTTCTATTGTGTTAAGTTTGACATGCACCCAACCCGAGCAATCTCACTTAAGGACAACAGAACTATAATAACAATACTAATACACCACGACACATTTTCGATCACATGACATACTGCGACGTGTGTTACATATTTTGAACGGAGAAAGCCTTCCCTGTATGAATGTACTCGCTCACTAATTGATCACCGATTGATATTGACACTTTCAGTTATTGGTTCGTTGTATGTAAAGACGAAAATGAAATAGGGATTGCAAACCGGTGTTAACAAAACAGTAGAGGGCGTCACGAAGTTTCGTCAATTCAGGCTCCCTATCGGTCACGTAAAGAGAGAATATTCACAGTCACGTCGCAGTAGTAAACTTCACACTCTTCAAAATATATAAGCAGCCGAATATTTCCCCTTCTACAGCCCCGCTCACACAATTTCGTGATAACCTGGCTTTCACCACTCACATAATATTTTATTTCATTGAAAAGAATAATTGTGGGGAAAATGTGCACATCGTCATTGAGAGACCATATTTACTCAGCTATAGTTTTTTACTGTATTTGTCAATAAATCCAAATACATTGTATATTATATTGTCATTCTAAGAATACGATATAACACTGATGCCTCTGCATCAACAATAAACAATCTGATTCAAATCTGATGGTGTGTATTTTCTTTTTTATTTTGAAGATATCGAAACTAGTTTGATGAGATTTCAGGGAAGGGGTATGTTACAACGACCCAGTACGAAGAAATGAATATACTTGTAGAAGTAAATTATTTTATGTATAATTCTATTAAAAAAATTGTAAATGTGAAAATTCATTTCATTTTATTTTTTGTGTGAATATAACAGTTTCATTTAATGCTCCAATTTAATAAATATATGGAAGAATAATGCCATCGGGAGGTATATTGGAAAAATATGAGTCAACTTGTTATCACGCGTTTTATGTGGCGGTGGTCGACGCGTTCGAATTACGTATCATATTTTTATCATTTAACTGATTAAAATGATGTACAATAATTTCACATCACAGTTTTAATACTTGTACAATCACGCCCTCTCGTGGCCGCCTCAAGTTTGTTGTAGAAGAGATGTCAGGTAATGAAATGATTGTAAACTTTCTCAATCCAATTGATTTGTAATAATAAAATAATATTGAAATTTGCTATAATTCCAATGAAACCACTGTAAATTTTACACGTTACATGGCGTTACGTCACATAACATCGCATATCATTCTTTTCATTGATCCAGCGTTATGTGTGAAATCGAGGGGGGGAAACGGGAAAAACAGGTCATGACGTCGTAATGACGTTAAAACATCATGTATTTTGTAGGTAGTTTCATACCTAATAATGTGCTGTACTCATTTGATGATGGTAAATTTTGATGAAGTAAAGATAGGCATTTTGACACTGAATTGACCCTGACTTATGAAAAGTTTAAATTTAAAGTAAAAATCAGATCGTTCGATGTTTGTGACAGACGTACGGTCCACGTCTTCCACGCAATATGCGAGATCTCGCAGTGGAATAAAAATCACATGTTATTGTGTGTGTATCAAATTCGATCTATTGTAGAATAACTAAACAATTGCAGGTCTCGTGTTATTTGACGAAACATATGGCAGATTTAAAAAAAAAAGACAATATGAATACGGAAATGTCGACGGTGTATATTCTCTAGCCATTTATTAAATCCCAGTGTAAACTCCAGGGTGACAGTTTAAGCCGATTACAACCCATGCGGTTTGAACCATGACAATCTCCTAAACGATGGCAAAATCACTGCCATTCAGACGAAATGAACCACACACCGATAGTGATGCGATATAAGTGTCCGACTTACAACGAAGCATGTACTAAAAAAACATATATACACACGGATGTGACAACCCCTACTTGACAACGGTATTCGCACCGTTTTTATCTGGTCGTTTGTCGAGATCTATACAACGGTCGGCACAAAGGGTGAACAATATTAGTCCGCTGAAAACGTTTGCGATGTTTTGATATGTTAATCAGTGCTGGAGCTGGAGAAGTGGCGTGCGTGTTTTGTCTCACCCAGTGACCCCGAGTGACTCGACCCGTATACAAGGCGAGGATTTTGTTTTCACGTTAGTCTCGTAACGTCCACCCACCTTTGCTGCGCTCAGTGCTGAGTCAGGAGAACGCTGGTTTTCAGTGCACAACAGGCTGGGTAACCACAGGAAGTATTAACGGAGAGCCTCGTAACATGCCATCACATAACGGAAGATAGGACGCACCTATCGTAAAAAAGACAACGCATCCTGACCACAAAACGTGATGCGATAGAATGGATTCGGACAGGTTCCCAATACACGGTAAGAGTTGTGATTGTATTCTCGGTACAATGTACAACTGTTCTTTTCTCACTAAAACTGTTTTTACAATAATATATTCAACTACCCCTAAATTAATATATATATCAGAGATTTTACATAATTTTTGTCCCACTTTGTGTACCCACCACCCGGAATATGAATCAGTTGTTGTACACGTCTCAGTTATTTGTGTAACCCACTAACTAATATTTATTTCGAAATTTCTTACAAACTTGTTGCTTTAATAAGTTTAAACTTTTTTCAGCAGAATGGAAACGTTTTCTCGCCAAAGTGGATTTCTTTCTTTCCGTTGTTCTACCAAGAGAGAAGATATCACCGGGCACGGAGGCATGCCGCCTTCAGTTATTAAACCACATAAACGAGATACGATGCGAGGAGTTGTGTGCGCCGTATCTACCACATGTCCCGTTACAGGTCGACGGCGTGTGCAAAGACTGTGCGACCCAATATGAACCGATCGGACCGGTGGATACCCAGCACGACGGTCGTAAAATATCGACTACCGAGAAAACGCCCGTTGACACGGAATCAACAGTGTTGTTTCAAACACAACAGCAGACCACGGCTTCGGCACAAGAAACTTCAGTGGTATCAGCGAAACAGGTGAGTTATTGACGTTACACTGTGAGTTTTAGCGTATTATTTATTCAATTTTACTGTGTTCGTAATTTTGAGGGGACGAGCACAGAATGGTAACAACTACCTGTTGATTATCTATCAGCGTCGAGATCATCATTCTCCGCCGTAGTGCCACATTTTGTAATAGATCTTATCAGCATTATTGCAAGCCGGTGACTGTTACTGGTGGCATGTCGCTCACCCAAACTTTTCAGTTGATCTTAAACATTGTCAAAAAAAAAGGTACAATTCAAAATCTGCAATGTATTAATTTGAAATCAAGTTACGATGTCTCTACTCGCCGTATTCACTGCGGGTGCACAGTGGCGGCATTGGATCATCTAGACATCACTGCTATCCCTTGTCAGCTAAATACTGGAATCGCCGTGATTTATTATCTGATTACAAATTGTTATCTATATGTTGGTATTAATTAAAGATAGGCCCAAACATTGTAAATGTCTGCCCGGATAAACAAGTTAATACAAAACTAAATGCCTCTGACCTCCCGACTAGATACGGACCGTTGTCAGATTTGTAAACGCATTGAACACGATAGCCAGTATATCGACGCACAATCAAAACACGATTGTAATGTAGTGACGTCACATCTATCTATTCAGCAGAATGGACTCTCGTTCACAAAAGTTCTTCTATTCTATAAAAAAAAAACGCCTTCATAACCATGTTGTATTCACGAAATAATACAAAACTATATAACAATTTTTTTTTTAACTTTTTCAAATAATCGTGTCAGATTGCCGATAATTACAGCAATCTACGTTTTGGAATCAAAGCGTCAGGCAGTATTTCAGTAGATAAATGAGATTTTAATACCAAGGCGAACATATACCTGTAGAAAGGTCAAGGCGTCTCCTTTTAAAAAGTCTGTCTTTTGTGTAATGTGTCGTCATTCAGAATAAACCTATACACGCTCCAAAGTAGATGAAAAGATGTTTTTCTGAAGTATCGGTTATTTACGTAGTTGTTTGACAGCGATGGCGTGGAAACGCAATGTCGTTTTCTAGTGCCCAGTGGCGGCGGCACCGGGGGACAGGGGGGGTGCCCCCCAAAATTCAAGCTGAAACCTTGCAAAATTGTTCTCTTCAAAATGCAGGAAATAGCGTTTCTCATCTAGGAAATAGGAAATCTCGTCCAATGCAAAATTCCGTGCCGCCATCTCTGGTACCTGCGTTATACGCTTGAAACGGACACGGAATGAATGACCTTTATATATGTAAATAATGTTAGGTATCATTTTGTATTTGATTTAAGTTTTCGTCTAAATGATATACAGTTGCAAAAGCCCGTTGTTTGATTATTTGAACGATAAAATAACTACACGCTAGGAGCACAAGGCATTGCTTGGCCCTTTTTGTTTGTTGTTGCATTTTATATACCAGTTCGATCCATTTGTTCCAACTAGGGGGTTGTTTATGGTTATTGGGTTTCTCTGCGGGCATGTCCGGAACCACCCGCAGGAAAACAAAACTAGTTATATTCGTATAAGGTTGTGTCAGCCACATAGCTAAGCGGTCTCGATTGCGGTTGTTATATAAATCGTCTCATTAGCGCATATTACAAGATGACATAGAAATACGACAGCGTGAGTGAATCATCGTGACGTACATATCACGTGATTGTCCGAATAAGTGCGTTATTTGAGATTTTTCTTTTAGAAAAATGTTGACATTTACTAGTAGTCAGTTATATTTCTTTTCGGGAAAAGGTAACTTAGTAGTTGAGTTACGCGACTTTTTGATTGAAGTGATTCTCTTGACATGAGCCCGATGCTTTGTGGGTAATCGTGGATTAAAGGTGAACACGATAGTTCAGCCACTAGTACATATTTTTAGCAGCCATGGCGAGCCCTGTGATGAGTTATAGAGCGACCGAAAATCACCAACGAACAAGAATTTTGCACTTATTGTATACTTGGCGTATTTACGCAGTCTGTTCGTTCTTGGCGTCAAGTGCGTCACTATTCGATGAGTATTTGGAGAATTCTGCGTCAAGAATTCCCCAAAAAATATAGATAAAAATATTCCCATTTTCTGCATTACACATTGCATTCCGAAAGAACAGAGCACAGTTAAAGCGGGTCTAATATATATATATGTTTATTTTACAAAAATTGAACAATGTGAGTCAAAATGTCAAAGGCGAATGATTATAGTTTTGTTTCGTTCATTGTTGAATGTCGTTCTCTGTCACGCGGTGGTGTTTGCACACTAACCAGCCACTGGATACAGGTAGTGTGTTTGTTTAGTCAGCGTTAATTCAAAGCGTAACGTCTTTAGAATTCACCGTATATGCGACGTATACCCGTCACATGAGGCTTGGCTAGTCAGATTTCTTGACGAGACCTTTTATTTCATGAGTCGCGGTTGGTTGACAATTCTCGCCACAACAGTGAACAATCTCAATTGTTTAGGTATACAGAGCGGTAACGCAACATGTATAGCAGGACAACCCAATTACAGCGACAATAACGGTATCTCTTAAAACGTGGCACCCTGGACTGGGATTCCTAATTAGGGACAACCCAAGACAGATTCGTACCATGGAAGTTAACACGGAGTCAATTCAACTCGGCGTGCATGCATGCAGGCAAGGACGCGATTGCCTCTTATTATACAGAACTTCTGCTGCAATAATAACGTGTATCATGAGCGATATAATTATCCACACGAAACAGAGCACGCTATCGCTCATTACTAAATACGACATTGTTGGTGGTACTTACAATAATAATAATCATCTTTATTATTATCGTATCCTCTATGGGACTTTGATTGAAGAATACAATAAAGGTATAGCAATGAAAATAAAAATGAGATTAAAAGAGTATAAAACAAAGGTATTAATAAAATATAATAAATGAAAGTAAATGTTTTTATTCATTTTGAGGCAGCTGGTAGTACTTTTTAATTTTAGTAGTATATTGCCACTACATAAATTGTCATATATGCTCTTAAAGGTCTTTAGGTACGTACATACACATATTATTCAGTGTCAACTGTTCGAATGATTACGTCATCTCGCTGTGACGTCATTCGTTAAAGAGCATTCACCTGATTGTTAGTAGTCGTATAACATGACGGCGATGTGATGTGATGACGATCCATGTGTATATGTGGCTGGATTTTATGTGTTGCGGACACTGAAAAGATGGGGAAATTAAAACTCGTTGTCGATGTCTTCATCGCTGGTTGGGCCTGAACGTGTCCACGTTCCTATAAGACGCGCCATCTAGCGATGAAGAGCTTCCGTGGTTGAAATGGGTGTAAACATGCCGTTCACATAGTCGATATTTTTTATATTTATTGTATAGAGATTTGCAGAGATATAGCGAAATTTGAATGCAATACAACATAATAGAATGTTCGTAAACAACTATTCATGTTTTGAGCTTCGCGCGCATATCAACTGGTAGGAGAAACACAACATATCAGGACAACACCGTCGTGTCAGATTCCATATACCGTACAGTTATACTGCGGCAATTACTGTAAAACCATTTATTTTTCATTGACATTTAATTTCACTATTTAATATTTTGAGCATACCCACTGTCTCAATTTCACGAATTTGTCCAGGAGTTTTATTGTTATTTCACATGTTCACGTAGATTAAATTTAGCGGATTTTACTCATCAGCGAAAATAGTGAAATTAAAACCCACTGAATTATTAATGCATTTACAGTACATTCTTTACATGACCTATTTTAGTCTAAATTGGGGTTAACGTACTGGTATGGCCCGCGCACAAGCCGGCCCTCGATGAAGTATTACAACAAAATTCGACACATCTGCATTTGTTGTTCGCCCGCGGCGATAATAGCGAGGACATGCATAGGAATCATGTACACTGACATTTTTCGCCAACAATCTCGACTATTTAGAATGCAGACAACTGAAAGTCCTAAGGGTAATAATTTCAACTAGTATTCAGTTTTTGGTCGCGTATTAGTTCGTTTACCTCGTAGTATTCGACATGGACCTATCAAGACGTGTACAACTCATTCACAAATCTTAGTATATTGTTTTTATTATTTCACTTCCTTTGTGTTTAGTAGTATTTATATACACTATATTGTCTCTCGTTAAATACACAGCGACAATATTTCTAAGCACTGGTTAAACTTGCTTACAAGTCTTTTTTTTTTTAATTGGCCGAAATACGAAATAGTGCAAGTTGGTGAAAATAAAGAGCGACCGCGAAAAATCAAACTATTTTTTTGTTTCGTTTTTTTTTCGTGGTAACCAACTCTTTCGCATTCGCCCGTTATTTTGCATTCTAAATGGTTTTACAAATCATATTTATTTTTTTATTTAACAAACACGGAAAAAGAAGAAAAAAAGAAGTTTAAGTACTGGCATATCTTATATGTGCACGAAAATAAAAATACGGACTACTAGTAATTAGATAGATATTCGGATTATTCTCGTGTAAATCAATAACACTGAAATTATTGGTGGAAGCGTGAGAAGCCAATGAACTCTCTCGACCCTTGTGTCGGTTTCACTTTAGATAGCCGGGTGGAACATCAAAAGGAGACAAACAGCCATTTTATGGACACTTTAAGAACAAAAGACAGAAATGAAGAAAAAAATGTAACAGCATTCACTCGTCAGAACTACTTTTCTATTACTTACGTTTTGCACAAATGCCGTGTCAGATGTATTTGGGAATGAAAGATGGATACTAGTTTAGTACGGAGTTATCGGCATCACGTCAAAGAGCATTCTTCTTGATAGAAACGATTCAAAGTTCAGAATTTCAAATGATTTTAGATAGATAACTTTATTCTCCTGAAAACTTTCGACCATCATTTTAAAGGGCAGTGGTCGTCGCTGTGCGCCATGTTCGATATGGGACTCGTAGCGACAATACATTGTTTTCATGAATTTCGAACACGCGCGTGATGACCACGGCCCTTTAAAAACTGAGACTATTTTATGAATGGGCAATGGGGGATTGC